TAAATTAACTTTATAAAGAAACAAAAATAAATATGACCACTTTGCTATTAAAAACCAAAACTTAACTATTTTAATAGCTGTGTAATGGGGAAGAGAGAGGTATGCACATTACTAAGCACTGAAATATAAAACAAATAGAAAAGGAAAAAGCGTTTTTTTTCCAATAATAATTAAACACTGCGTCGTCAGAGTTGGTGGCTTTATCAGACACTTGAACTTAACATTTTATGAAAATCAAGCTCAAATGGAGTTAACAAGGTTTTTGACCAGCGAATGACGGAGATCTGTGTTTTGTCTGTCATTACAACGACCGCATCTGAGGCAGCAAGTGCATCGCATTATACGCTTTCATCAACTTACAGGTTATAACATTTATTGTAGCTATATGGGCGCTTAGTTTTTCATGTCGTTTAATAATTGGACCGCTTTCCTCCCCTTGTTTACTACCACAAGAGGTACACTGACAAGAAATGAAGTCAGAGACCTCTTCGACGTTGTCTGGAGTTCACCAGGGAGCAACAGGCGAGACCTTGAGGAGGACACTGTCTTCCAGTGGGAGTGCTGACTAATGTTGATTCAAGGCAAGTGTTTCTTTAACTGCACACTGCTTTATAATGTAATTAGATTTTGCTTCTTGCCTTTTACATTTTGTTTTACACACAAACAGAAGAAGATGTGGGCATATCCTTTGAGGATGTCCTAGTGTTTGTAACTGCAGCAGATTCTGTCCCTCCACTGGGCCTTCAGCAAAAGTGCCAAGTGGAATTTTATGACCAAGAGGAGCCAACCCGAAGAATTCCTTATGCTTCAACCTGCGCCCTGACTCTCTACCTGCCAAGAGGTGTGTCAGAAGAAGAGGAATTCAGGGAATTAATGTTCCTTGCAATAAAAGGATCTCTCGGATTTGGGAAGGTATAAGTGTCACCTTCTTCATCTTTGTTACGTTTTTAAAGTAATTAAGCAAAACAAAGACATGGTGGTAAGGACTCAATTTGTGAGTGAGGCAGGACAGGTGTCTGTCAAGTGTGGAAACTTAGGCGCACCCCATTTCAACCTAAAAACATTTGGAAAAATGACTTACCACCATGTCTTTGTTTTGCTTATTGCTGCAAATATTTCATGCCAGAAACAAGTGGATGGGAGATGTTGAAACCCATCTTCTTCTCCCTCACACAAAGACATAGCCGGTCACTAGAGAAGAGAATTGTTGAGAGGGGTTCGTAGAAGTTATTGTTGATTGAAAATGAAGAGCAAACAGTGATAAAATAACATGCAGATAAACATTTAGAACTTTACATCTATAAGAATTGTGAACTTTCATTTTCACATCAAGTTTAAATGACTTTACCTTGCCAAGTTTCCATTTATTTCCTTACAGTGTTTTAAATAAAACATTATATTCTGGCATTATTGTATTACAATACAAAACAAATCGATGCTTGTGTTCATTAAATAAAAACTTCACTAATGTTTTTGCAAACATCTGAATCTTTTGAATTTTTTATAACAGCTCTGATAAAAAATTTGGGGCAAGATCTAAATGTATTTGATTGTCAAAGAATAAATCAGAAAACTATTTTGGTGTGGGAACTGGGCACTTTTATTTCATCAGCATTCCAGAAGACCTTAACATTGACATTGATGCACATGACCTTAAATTAAAATGACTACTACAACATCTTAACATATTGACATATTAAAATAATGACTATTAAAGTCATAGCCGCAAGCAGCACTTATTTGGGTCCATACAAATGTAAAAAGGTGACCAAATTTCACAAAAAAATGTATATGTTTTGGACACAGTTCTTTTGGAGTCAATAAATAAAAACTTGAAAGTAATAATGTATAATGGGACATACTTAAACAAACTTGAAAAGGTTAGGTCTATGTTTTGCCCATTTAATGAAAGTCAACCATAACATGCAGCCTTAAGTTTTATTTTGGGATGAACTCGTCCTTTCCTATGATTGATGTAAAGATGTCAAAAAAGACAAAACATTGCAAAGGATGTCTAATCCAAGTTCTGCTTGTGCCCCACCAAGTGGATTAAATTGTGCAACAAGTTGCTCCAAGGTTGCATTGTCCAAAGTGTAGTGATTCTGTGGTACTGGTACTCTGTCTGGCCAGTCAACCATTGCTGCCCCCTGCATTCTTGATGTCGTTTCTCCTTGTTCAGATGGTCCTTGAACAACAGTTTCATCTGCTGGCCCAGCTCTTCTGCCAAAGATTTCTTGCATTGCTGTCATTCTTTGTCCTTGTTGTTCCAGGCAACCTCGGACAAAAATCTGCATTGGGGTCTGATGTCTTTCAGTCCTCAGCCCATGGCTGTTCCATTGTCGGATGAAGGCAGTCAAGTCCCTGTTGATCCTTGGCAAGTAGACATAATGAAGAGCCCAGAGATGCATTTCATTGTCTATGTCCACTATACCTTAACTCTCCAGAAAGTGGAAGAGATTATAATAAACATTAGTCAATCCCCGCCACATGTCACCCCAGAGCCTCTCAATACGCTGGTTATGAGTGCTCCTGCCTCTGATAGCACTGCCTCTCTCTGAGCCCCTGAAAATGTTCATCATCACACAGACATTGTTTTCTCCGCCATGATCTGTTCTGATCCTAGAAGGCACTCCATACCTGGCCACAGCATTCAAAAAGCAATTCATTACAGTGCTGCTGCGGTTGTTGTTTGAGGCACGGAGAAAGACTATGAGACGACTGAAGCCATCTATACCACCATGAATGACAATTCTCCATCTAAAACAACAGAGAAACGCTGTTATAATATAAAACATTAAGAACAAAAAGAAAATACATTACAGTACATCTTCCTATAACAAATATTTTAATAATGGGAAGTTCATTAATACTTTTTTATAATATATACTTTATTAAATGTTACATGTATAAAACAAAAAAGCATAGTCATGTAACGTGTATATCTACCTTATCAATTTGTGGTTGCCATCAAGGTGCCAAAGGGAGTTTGGTCCAGCAACGTTGTACAATCGCCTCTGTGGTCTTCTTTGTGCCATTGCCCTTAGTGCAGCTGCCCTGGGGCTTGTTCGAATTAAACTCTTTCTCACTCTGTCTCTCTGCACCCGTACTCCACCTGCCCGTAACTGTGCCCTGACAGCCTCAGATCCAAGCTGATCATTCCCAGCCACAATATCTTTGATCATGTCATCAAGGGCATCATCAGTTACATCAGAATATGTCACAGAGCAATTCAAATTGAACCTCCTGAAACAAATAAAAATACAAACATAACTAATGTTTATCATCAAGATAATGTTGATCATTGCCTAAAGATGTTCTCGTAGTTCAAATAGTAGAGCATGACGCTATAGCAATGCAAAGGTCATGGGTTTGATACCCAGGGAATGCATGAATTGAAAACAATGCATGAGTTGAATGCAAATGCAAAATGTAAATACAATGTTCATTTTATGCACATCAAATAGTTTAAAATGAAATAATCTTGATGCAACTTACTTCATGCGTCGTTTGACTGTAGCCAAAGACACTTGCAGAATCTCTGCTATTGAAGGAAGAGAAAAACCACAAGATTTCAGAAAAGAAAGTTGCTCTCTAGTGATGCTGTAATGGGGCGCTCCTCTACCTCCACTACAGGTAAGTGGAGCCTGATAACTGGAACTGGCTGCAACAATAATAACAATGATAAATAATTGTAACCAAGTTTTATAAGTCACAAAGAGTGGTTTATGTAGAAACACAATATTAAGGGAATAAAATGTTTAATGCTCTTGTCAGAACAGCTAATGTAATAACCATGTCTGTCCACTACGGATCAGTGATCTTTGCTACAAGTTTTACTACAAAAAAACTAATCAAGGCAATTTAATACCCATGACTACTTAGCTTACACAAAACAATACTATCACTACAGATACAGATAGATTTTTAATCATTTAATGTATAGTCAAAGAGATTCTCCTAAATAATGTCTAAACAGTCTACTATTGCAAAATGCAAAGCTTTTTAATTACTTACCTTGTTGTTCATGCTTCCTACATGTGTTAACTTCTGCTATATATTCCGCTATATCACGGAGTAACCGATCCGCTGCCGGCACATTGATCAGCCTCCCTCTTACCCATTCAAAGCTTCTCTGCATTGTTTCCAGTCTGAAACACAATAACATGAAATAGTAGTGAATATTAAGCTAAAGAAGCACTAAATGTCTTTTTTGTTTACTTTCAGATGCAGAGAAAAATGCCGCCACCAACTGACTCATTCAACTGTAACGTTACCCATGTAAAATACTATAGTAATTAAATCACACCTCATATATAGTACACCCCATACCGAACGCCATATTTAGACGCAATTACGTTATATCAGCCTTGTCCAAATACCCACACTTGCGGTCTTTGCACTTGACCACTTGACTACTTATATGACGTATTTCCTGTACTTGGCCCAAGTGTTCAAGTGAGCATGTAGACCACAAGTGTGTGTCGAACTTTTCATTACCTGATAGGACACACTTATAGTGTTGTAAAAATGCAAGTGTTTTCATAGCTTTATTTAAATTTTAATTTATTTGCATTTTAAAATCAACGTCTAAACGTATGTTCAGTAGTCCCTATAACATGACAATTTTAATTTGTGGTGCTTCTAATTAAGTGATAAAAAGCAGTTGCAAATGTTGTACAAAATAAATATCACCACTACTCATCTTTGCACCAATAAAACGTAAAAACACTGTTTTTCTACCAAATTATATGTAATATCTAATTATTATATTAATATTTAACTTGCATTGGAAAGGTTTCTGTGACCTCTCGCGAGATCTCTGCAAAAAGTCTCACGATTTATTTCCAGAACATGATGCATGATGGGATACACTAAGCCTGGAATACCTGCTCCGGAGCGGTATTCAAGATAGTGTGGATTTAGTGTGCGTTAAGAGCACTGCGCTTTGCCGTTTTTAAGACCTGGGACAGTCTTGCCCACTTACTTCCTGTCGCGCGCACGCGCTCTCAAGTGGCCAAGACCGCAATTGTGTGAATTTGGACAAGGGGATCGTCTGTACACGTAACGTCAAAAGAAGTATTTGTCTTTGCGTATAGGCAAGCCAAGAGGTTCACATTTACGCTATAGATAAATCGCGTTTACATACAAAACGTCGTATTTGACGGCATTTTAGCATACCAACACCATTGTATTTATATAATTTATTACACAAATACCTTTTACGTACATAAATAACAGGACATTATATTAGCTTTGAGTAATTTAATTTCCAAAACAAGAAATAGTTCATAGTATAGGGTAAGGTAAGAAAGAGAATATTTAAAAGCTGTGCAGCTACAGAAGTTGGAGGCAATGGTCCTTAGCCTTTTTGTTAGTGTTTGACCCACCACGATCACTGGTTCAAGTCCACACAATGTGTGACACATTGCTGCCACACGCATTTTTTTTCTGCTCAGTTATGTCGTAATAATGAGATGTTATGTCGTTATTAAAACGACATATTTTCTTGTAAAAACGAGATGTTACATTGTTAAAAAGATGTGTTTTTCCCGTTGTAGAATGGTTACAGAGCGCTTGTCCGCGCGGCTGTCGCCACAGTCCTGATGAGGATCTGCAGGAGGGTTAATAGAAATAAGCTGTTTAAATGTATTTTAATGTAATGGTTTTTATTGTAGCAGCATGTTTATCAGGATTAATCTCCAATCTGTCTACAATATAATGCTATCCAATAATTGCACTCAGACCCAGAGGACATGAGAGAGAGTATAGGCTACTATGTGTCAAGAAGTTTGATTGATGAGGGTCATAAAAATCCCCCCCCCCATCTGTTTATCCACCCCAATGACCCGAAGGAATTTATGGTTGTTTGGGAATGTGTTTTTTGTGTGGGAAACGTGGTATGATTATTAAACGGGATAAGGGAAGTTTTTATTAAAGTTTTCACACATACATTTCAAGAAAAACATACGCGGTATATAAACAAAGTAATGACTGTTTTTTCCCAGAAAAGAGTAAAAACGGGTCAAGACGTATATTTAAGTGTTGTTCATTTAAATACTAGTTAGAGTTTGTTACATGTTAGAAAATAAAAAGAAAACTAGGCTATTGACCATCTATCTAAACACTATCTAAACAAAAAAAGAAAAAAAAAAGTATCAGATAGTTTGTTAAACAGTACGTGGCGGTCAAAATCTTGTAACATTACAATGTAAAAGTTTGAGAGTTTGTTACCAGGTAGAAAAGAAAAGAAAAAATGCTGACTTATCTTACCGTGATCTAAAACAAATAAAAAGTATCCTTAAATGATTTCTGAAGGATCATGTGACTGGAGTAATGATGCTAAAAAGCCCTGATCCATCGCTTAGTCAGTTGCTATGTGAAGAGGATGACCTCATACAGGAGTACAAAACAAGTGTCAAGAACAGTTACTGTTCTGGGCTGCGTTTCTCAAAAGCATAGTGAGTTGATGGAGACCATTATTGCTTGCAATATGGCTAAAACCTGTGCGATTCTTCTTGGACTCACTCACACAATAGCTGAAACTTTGAGACTGTTTATTTTTTCAGCTCTCTTTCTCAGCTCCTGTGCCACAAATATATATGCGACATACCTGTCTTCACATCTACTGTTAAACATTTTTTAAGTTAAAAGTTGTGAAATCCAGACTTTGGAGGAAATCATTAAAATATATATATTAAAAAAAAAAAAAAAAGGACAGATGAGTAGGCTACTGCTCTAAATGGCTACAGGTAATTTATTTAATCAATAATTACTTTTTAAGATACTTTAAAAATACATGTGGTTATGTACACTAAATAGCCTACTTTTGGTCCAAATATTTTTGGTCCTTCAGCCCCTGCCCAAGCACAGTGCGCAGTAAACACAATATCACTCTCGCTTACCTGATAGTCTCTGATAGGGATGGAGTCTAGACTGTTTTACAACGATATATTTAATAGGCTGATAATCATCATCATCATCATTTAAAAGAATATTATTATAATAAGTATAATTGTTATTATTACATATTACATTACCTACATTAAACAGCGTAATTTTTTTCTTCTTTTTTTCAAACATTGTAGTCTTGTGGTGCACGAGACGAGAATGCTTTACTGGAAAAATTTATTTAGTGCCATACATGGTCCACACGCAAATATTAAGGTAAACTGGCATACACAGAGCATGTGAGCCAGGGGCTTAGCCATCATTTCAGAAGTGAGGGGGACGAAATGTAAATGTAATTATATATAAATATTACATATAACACGTATAATATAACATTTCTGTAATAACATACCATGAGTTTTTGAACAGTAAAATCTATAATGTTTTTTTAAAGAAGTATCTTCTGCTTACCAAGCCTGCATTTATTCGATCCAAAATACAGCAGAAGTAATGTTGTGAAATATTTGTACTATGTAAGACAACTGTTTTCTATGTGAATATCTGTTAAACTGTAATTTATTTCTGTGATGCGCAGCTTAATTTTCAGCATCATTACTCCAGTCTTCAGTCACAGAATGATCCTTCAGAAATCATTCTAATATGATTTGCTGCTCAAGAAACCTATTTTAATTATTATTATAATCAATATTTAAAACAGTTGAGTACATTTTTTCAGGATTCTTTGATTAATAGAAGGATCCAAAGATCAGCACTCTCAATTTCTTTTTTTTTTTTGGAAAAGAAATTATAGAAAATAATACTTTTATTTAGCAAGGATGCTTTATAATGGAGGCCAGATGGAAGTGTAGTCCGAGATCTATGCCGTAACCACCACCACAGCTGTTAAATAGTCATCTTTATTTCCTACAAATACAAAAGCAACAATTATTATTTTCCCTGTTGGGTTTTTAATATTGGTATTGTGGCCATCTCCTCTTCATCTGTCAGTGATGCTGGTTCAGGTTCTTCCCCCATTTTACGAGTCTGCCTTCTTGCTATAAGTTTGATTGCATCATATAATAATTGCTGTTAATAGTGTTCATCGTCTGTTTGATTACGTCTTTGATTTTTCCGTACATTTCCGCCATATGTACATTAACTGACAGTCACCACTGATAAGCTACCACTAAATATTGTAGAAACAATAGAAGTCAAATGTTTTTCATTACCCTAATTAAGAAATGTAGCATGTTGGATTAGAGATAATTTAATTATGTGAAAAAGCATTAGACTGTGTAAAAAGCTGCTGCACATTGAAATAGATAGACACAATGATATTTATTGAATGTCAAATGTTTGTAAAGTCATAGCCTACACCCATTTCACGCTTGAAGCTTTACCTGATTTAATTGTTTTTATGTTTAATTTTTTTCTGCTGCCACATTTTTTGCACACAACTTAGTTAGACTTGCTGTTTTTTTTTTTACTGAAACATATTTAAATATATTTTGTAATAAAAGAAAAAACATAATATTTCTGTACATTTTCATAACAATACATTTAAACTTAAATAACTTGTTTATACTTAATTTTTTTAGTGATTCCAATATTCTGATTTGCTGCTCAAAAAACATGTATTATTATTATTATGTTTGAAACAGCTGACTAGAATTGTTCAGGTTTCTTTGATTAATAGAGTTCAGAAGAACAGCATTTATCTGAAATAGAATTTTTGTTGTAACATTATAAATGTCTTTATCGTCACTTTTGATCAATTTAAAGCATCCTTGCTAAATAAAAGAAGTATCTTCTGCTTACCAAGCCTGCATTTATTCGATCCAAAATACAGCAGAAGTAATGTTGTGAAATATTTGTACTATGTAAGACAACTGTTTTCTATGTGAATATCTGTTAAACTGTAATTTATTTCTGTGATGCGCAGCTTAATTTTCAGCATCATTACTCCAGTCTTCAGTCACAGAATGATCCTTCAGAAATCATTCTAATATGATTTGCTGCTCAAGAAACCTATTTTAATTATTATTATAATCAATATTTAAAACAGTTGAGTACATTTTTTCAGGATTCTTTGATTAATAGAAGGATCCAAAGATCAGCACTCTCAATTTCTTTTTTTTTTTTGGAAAAGAAATTATAGAAAATAATACTTTTATTTAGCAAGGATGCTTTATAATGGAGGCCAGATGGAAGTGTAGTCCGAGATCTATGCCGTAACCACCACCACAGCTGTTAAATAGTCATCTTTATTTCCTACAAATACAAAAGCAACAATTATTATTTTCCCTGTTGGGTTTTTAATATTGGTATTGTGGCCATCTCCTCTTCATCTGTCAGTGATGCTGGTTCAGGTTCTTCCCCC